ACGGTTGTGAAACCTGGCCCCTTAGTACAGCGGACATAATGAAGCTAGTTACGTTCGACCACCGGTGCCTTCGTAATTTAGCTCAAGTCTGTTGGGAACGCCGTGTGAACAACCAGCGTGTTCGACGCCTTGTTTAAGGCACAGGAAAAGGAACTGAATCGCTCAGCATCGTTATTTCACGCACCAGGCTCCCATGGCTCGGCCACGTGTGACGCATGTCAGTCCACCGACTCCGGCGACGTGCGTTGTTTGCGCGCCGGGGGTGTGGATGGAAGAAGAGGAGAGGTGGCCAAGCGATGACTTGCTCAAGAGGAATGAAGGCCCTCACTTCGAAGCTGGCCTCGGTTGGAGCGTGTCGGCTCCCTGGTTGGGGTCCGAAAGACGAACACGTTTGGCTGGATACACTTGTTGATATGGCTAGGAGCCGACCTCAGTGGCGTTCGTGCTGTGAGTTTCTTTGTCTCACCCCATCCCTCTTAGCCTCCCCTCCAATCAGGATCACATTAGTTAACATTTTATAATTTTGCAGAGGAAATTACTTTTTTACTGCATAATAGCTGGCAGATAGCTCACCGGAACCATGCCTATCTGTTACCGTTAGCTCAGCTGACTTGCACCTGTAGCATTTTATTGCCTTCTTTTCTTTTAGATTTTGCCGCACAGTAGCTGAGGTGTTTCCCGCCTCTAGCTAACGTGTATATTGTGTGTGTGTGTGTGTGTGTGTGTGTGTGATTGCTTATGGCGTACTGGCGGATGACATTTGGGACACACATTTTGGTGGTTATCAAAAGTCATAAATCGTTACCGCCTTCATCCAGACTGCTGCAGCTCACAGCGTTGTGGTTCGTCGTTGCCGTTCTATCCACATTACCGTGACATGCGGCACCGTCAACTTTGGTAAATATTCACGTATTGGTGAGGGTTAAGAACAATCTCTCAACAAGTTTTGTAAGCAAATTTTTAATGTATTTTTTCTTGTCAACGTTTCGCGTTAGATACAAAGGCCTCCTCAGTCAAAGGTTAAGAACATATACGCTATGAATTAGCAATAAATTCTACATGCGTTCCCATCGGATCAAGATATTTGGTCGTGGGATGCAGAAGGTTGGGAGTATAGTACATTGTCTGATTTCGGCCATTTTTAAACGGCGTTGAGATTTGAATCTAATCCGACAGCAGGGTTGAGAGACAGCAAGACTTAACTTGGTTGTGCTTGTGGTTGACTATGTCATCCAAAAAGTGTATTCTGAAGTAGCTGATTACCACAATTTCGTGCTCTCGGTTGCTACGGCATACACCCGGTGATCCTGTCCGTAAGTTAGAGAGACCTGTCTAACACACCTGATGCTTCTGGAGCAAGACGACCACCGTAGTCGAAAGACGGCTTAGACTGTTTCGGGGATACGAACAATTTAGACGTGTGTAGCATATGATCTTAGATCAGGTACGCTTGCATTACACTGGTCTTGGCTTTGACAATGAACTTTGAACATAACAGTGTCAATTGAACGGCATCAAGAAAAACTTCCGCTCGAACACACTGTGAAGTTGCCTGAATGGTTCGCACTTCGACATGATCAGTCGGATGAAATCGACCAAACCATCGGAGCGCTTGAGCAGCTTAGACGATAACATTTCACTGACCATGGTTCCGCACCGACAGTAACGTGTGTGAGACGGCGCATGTGGTGGTATAAACTGAGCGTCATTCGTTTCAACAGTCTCTCTCCCTGTTGTGATGAACGGCCATGTGTTTGCATACGGTGATATTTTTCACATTGTGATGTCTATGTGATCGTTGGTGAACTCTAAACGTCACAACTGTGTGAAAGCCATCTGCAGAGGCATGTACTTTACCAGTAAGTTGTGCAACGATGCGCAGAAATAACTTATTTCGAAAACCTGAGGACTGATCTGTTGGAACTGTTGAATTTATCCTAAATAGTGGCTGGAATGTCACTGAGTTCTCTTTTCAATGTGTTTGAGGGAAGCACACAGCAAGCTAACAAAGACTGGTACATCTGGTTCCATCGGTGTGGTTGTTTCATCACACGCCGCTTTCTTCAAAGTCTCGTGGTTTTCTCGTTCTTCATGTGGCGCATATATATATATATATATATATATATATATATATATATGTTGGATTTGTTTTATTTCATTTTGTCGTTCCAGGTGATTGACTGTTGCTTGATATCCCCGGTGTGGCTGCGCTTGATGTGCAAGTTGACAAGGTGCCTACCTGTCTATTACCCACTACCTCGTCCATACTGGCTCCAGGAGACAGTTGGTCGTTGCTGGAGGGGACGGGGTGCAAGGTCCTTGTGGCCGTGCTAGGCTCGAAGAGTGGTTCCATGCACTCAGTGTGGAGCTGACTACGGTCCAGCCACCGCCATGTGTGTGCGCTTGATTTTCCAAATACAGCGTGCTTGTGTTTGCCTGTGAAAGAGTGTTGGCCGGCTCCGTTGATGAAACGTGGCTACCAATCACATGCCTTCCGGTCCTATTCCTTCGGGTTTACACTAGATATGGGGTGTGTGGTTGAAGCTGTGGGTGGTGCAGCGCAAGCCATCCATGGTTCCTCTGTAGGCGCAGGCGTCCTGTGTCTGGCCACAGTGACAGGCGAATCCGAAACCGGATGCCGCCAACCATATATATATATATATATATATATATATATATATAATCACAATCTGTGTACAGATATTGTGCCATCGGAACCACGACGGAATATGAAAACATGGTTAAGTTAAATGAAGAAAGAAAAGAAACAATTTTTTGTCAACTTTTCCTCTCGCAATTTTTGAGTTTTTTGATGTTTTTATTGGGTGGATGGAAGGGGATTATCCATCCATGGTTCGTCTGTGGGTGAGATACTACCCGGTTGCCCAGGCCGATGTGGCGTACCACATCAAGAGAGAGGCGAAGGATGAAAAAATGAGTGCTGTCGTTTCTGCTGTCGACACAACTTACATATCCGACCAAGCTGTACAGTGACCAGTGGTTCGTAAAAGTAACGTTTACATGCACCACACTAAGCACTAGTCGTATTTAGTCATTTCTAAATCTTTTACTCGCCATATGTAGATCAGGTTTGGAAGCCAACTTCTTCACCTACTCCCTTCCGTCAGGCATCGACCAAGGAGGTGACCATAATGGACGAAGAGTCGGTCGACACACAATCTGTCGGAACAGCCGTGCAACGTGAACGCATCCAGTTCATGAAATCTAGCTTGGATAATCTGACTAGAGCACACAAACAGTTAGTGCGTGACAACGCTGATCTACGATGTGAAATTCCAAAGGTACGGCGACCGAAATTCCGTTTGTCGGATAAACTCCTATCCGATACAAGTAAAGCGTTTCTTCTGTAGCATCGGCTTTTGAGGCGTGCTCTTACTTGTGAAGAATGATGCATAATTTTGAGCAGAACTTCATATCTATATGTAGGTTATGATAATAACAGGTATAAAACCTAGGAAAACCAACCGAGTAAAGCGCAGAGCTAAGATAGTTGACTTCAACACAAGACCAAACGCAGGTAGGAATACATACTTAGCCTGTACTCTGACCACTTTAGGCATGTTGGCCCTCCGCGTGTAGCTGTTCCACGGCTCGCTTTCATATGGTTAGTGGAATAGGAGCAGAGCACTTAACGGAGAACCGCTCGTCACTCCGTCGTACCCGTGAGGTCACATTAATTGAGGACCATACGTTTGCACCCCTGTGGCCGAACCTTACTTACGCATGTACACCTAGACAAATGACACAGCTTTCCCTTTACAAATTTCAGAATAGCAAGAAAAAGCAGCATTTCAGCAGTATATTCTGAATTCAGCTATTTCGTATCCTCTCATCAGCTGTTGACAGGCAATCAGTGGAACTGTTACAATGTAACACACCGAGGTAAAACGAGGCACAAAATCGGTCGGTTTAAATAAAGCTAATCAATAACGTCTCACCAGGGTAAGGCTAGGGTAGTCAGAAATTCCGTCTGTTTACATAAATTGGGCTTCAGCCTACGGATCCCTAAGGCCTCTGCAAACTGCAGTGGACGGGCTATATTTGCTATTCTGAAATGGCACAGCTACCTGCCATTTTTGCACTTCCTAAAATTGTATGAGCTAAAGCAAGCGGTAGTTCAACTAGCAATATCAAGACTTGTCTTGACCCCGTTCTTTTCATCATATTCAGCTTGAGAAGCGGGTCAAGGCAAGTTTAGAGCGCATTAAAGATTTGGAAGTTGCACTACGCGAGTCGAAAGAGGCCATGATTCGTGACAAACGACGCTACAATCAAGAAATTGACCGAATCAAGGAAACCGGCTGGGCAAGAGCAAACACACGTTTGAGGACAAACATTGGTAAGTCGGAAATGCATGCACGCTGTTTTCTTGTGCAATTTGAAATCGTCCTCTATGAAGCATTGCAATGGTCTCTTGGGATGTGAAACAGATTTGATTTTATCGAGGTACCAGTTAGAAGCAGAATTGTTCAGGGTTCATGACGAAGTCATCCCCATCAGCCACTCTGCCCGCGACAGATTTGAGATACACTAGTTCCGTAAACTGTAGCGAACATGCAAATCATATCATGAAAAAGGGTAAGCAATCGGTCGGGCTCACATGCCACCTGCTAACTTTGAAAGGAACCAGATTAATTACTTTCAAAAGCAATATCAGTCCCTCGCTTGAATATTGCTGTGTTACGTTCAGCAATCTGCGAAAGGGGGATTTGCGAGCCATTGAAAACGTTCAACTCACTTTCAGGAAACTTAACTATCTTGGTAGTAGTAAGTATTAGTAAGTAAGATGGAAGTGCACTCACGCTGTTTTCTTGTGCAGTTTGATTTCGTCCTCTGTGATGCACTGCAATGGTCTCTTGGAGCAGCTTTGAGTTTATCCGACTTCTAATAAAGTTTCACTATGTACCGTATGCAACCGTTTTAGGACCACCGAAGTCTGCCTCTCAAGGGAGGCCAAAGTAGACAAACTGGAAAATTGATCTGCGTGACAACCACACTCGAGTGTATGGTAATTTGAAAGTCCGGTTAGACTTAGAATTGCCGGTGGTTGCTATTGATGCTGCAAACTTCCCCAGCGTTCAGGACCCAACAGTATCGTGGATTGAGCAACTTTACGTGATTGACTGGATCGGACCGCTCTTAACCGCAGTTTGATTGCGGTCAGTTTATGTAAATCCATCCATTCTATAGTGTCCATTATTTGCGGTTGCAAAATACAACTGGAATGGTTGCACAGTCTTAACTATTTGTGCTATCCCAATATTCAAAGCTGCAGCAGTTGGGAGAGAACTCAGCTAAACGAATAGCTAGAAGACACAAAGTGCGGTACTCATTCTCGATAACATTCGTTTGTGATGAGAAGGTCAGACTTCCGACAGTTAGTGCAGGACACGATGATATGTGAGCAGCAGTTGGTCAAATGGCCCATGCTATGCGACATGAAGATCATGTGGCAAAACGCGTGGTCGGCCACTCTGAGTATGTTGTTTTCGTGCAATGGTCACATTAACCAGCTCGTCATTTGTTGCCAACTGACATTCTCTAAGACTATACCATTTTCCATTGAAGTTGGGCATTCGGGCAAAACATTTACGCCTGGGGGTCAACGGGGTCGCTCCTCCGGGGCAAGCAAGTTGAGTCTTCGCTATGTGGAATAGAACCACTCACTGGCATGGTAGGGGCTGTTTCATTGGCCAAGCGCCTTCAGCAAATAGAACCTGAGACGCTTAGCCAATGAAACAGCCCCTACCATGCCAGTGAGTGGTTCTATTCCGCATAGCGAAGACTCAACTTGATTGCCTCGGACGAGCAACCCCGTTGACCCCCAGACGTAAATGTTTTGCCCGAATGTCCAACTTCAATGGAAAATGGTATAGTACCACTCAAATTCATGGTGAAGTTCATTTCATCGACCTCCAGCTCTGACTTAAAACTCCTTCCCAATGGGAATTCAGTTACTTTCTACCTTGAAAACGAAAGTATTTTACTGTTTGGGCTTGCGAGTAGTGCAGTTCACGCTTGTTTCTATGGTGAAAAGTCCATCTTTTTTGGTAACGGGCTTCACACAACCTAAAGGTTATCACAATACGACTGGTTGCTTTGGGCTAGTTTGGGTTGGTCATATCGCTGGTCAATGGTGTATTGCGGAGAAAGAAAGCCGAAGCTTGACATGTCCCTCCTAATGAGCGGTTAGGGGTGAGCAAAATGAAGGCAAAAATATCAAATAGGACTAATGAACAACCTCAGATTGCAAACTTGCCGGCTATAGTGTTCCTGCCCGAGCAGTTCACGCTTGCTTGAATGTATTATCCAAGCTTATCGTCTGTGGTTTCCGGCCAATAGTGGTAGGGGAGGTATAGGACTTGACACCGGATAGCATACTGCTGCATTTCAAGCCAAAGACGCACCTGTTGTGGATACTGCTAGGTGGAAGGCGCCTCACATTAGGGTGCTACCGAACTGCATCATCCATAAGTCCAAACTCACGTTCTTTGAGAGTTTACATTACAGACACTTGCTCCATCGTGATACGACGATCTGCGTTCGGTTTAGTTTTGGTTACAATTAAGAATACTGTATCGTGGAATGCAAATTAGGCAAATCAACCTCTGTGGCCCCTACAATGTACACTCAACGAACGGTGAGTGAACACGCACACACAGAACGCACGTCAGTGTACACGAAAAGTGATGTATACATTCTGCACACTTGCAGTTAGCGATCAACAATTACTCAGTGGTAGGCTTTACAATGCGTGTGTGTGTGCTTGGGAAGAGAAATGACGGTGACGTTTACACAGCTTCTTCTCGCTAACTGCACATACCAGATTAATTACTCGCAACTTAAGCTGCCAGTTGGACGGATAGGAATGCCGCTTGAGCACTGTTTCTGGACATTGACACCGTTTGTAAGCTTACACGTTCCCATTCTAGGTCCTGCTGACGTTTGCCACTCCGGTGTCCTTCTCCTAGCCGCACGCACGTTCCGGTGCAGTGGTAAGGTCCAGTTTCCATAAGTGAATCGATATAGTCCACTGCTGTCAAATTGATGTGGATTGTCATTTTCGGAGACAGATGTGGCTGCGCTCGATTTCCTCCTCAACATTCTACCGAATGGCAAGTTACCGTGATGCGACGCTATGTGTACGAATTGTATGCCAGACGAACGCAGCGCGTTATCCGCGTTCACTGAGGGGACAACCTGAACTTTTCTAGCTAATTACCCCAGAGCGAAGGGTTACACTTATCTAGGCGGATAATTCTGATAATAAAAGCAGTTACTACAGTTAATTCCCTTCAGCAGTTTGAACAGTGCAAGGGGAAGACGAACACTGGTGGCATTTCGTATTAACACATCAATACAAACAGAATAACTGGGACATATTTATACATAGGTCATACAGCACAACCAAGCCAACCACGTTCAGCATTATGGTCGCTGGGATATACAGTAGAACCTCACAATTTGACCACCTCTATATCTTGCCCACCTCTATAAGTTGAACGTTTTTTCATGGATTGAATGCTCACCATGCAAACCTTATGGAATCAGACCTCTGTAGTTCGACCATCTCTGTTAGTTGTATGTTCGCCACTTGGACCATAACAGTCACCAATAATAACCTCTATAACTTGACCGTGTGAAGGCTTACTGTGCAATGGTCTCCGATCGTTTGTTCAAGCAACAAACCGTGTGTGCTGGGATTGTACAGTTTGCGAAATTCTTCTGATCTACAACCACTACACTTGTTGGCTTCACAGACGTTGAACGATACAGCTTCCGAACCCCCCCTCCCACAGTGTACACGCGCGTTGGTATTTACCCCGTCCAGAAATTTACCTTGACCGTTTTTGTGTGAAATCTTTCCACACACAAGCACGCATCAAGCCTAGTTTGGAACATGTGCCCACGCGCTGCACAGGTCGCAATCATGAGTTTGATGGCCTGTCTAACAAAATGGGTAAATACGACGTCCGTGATCACATAGCGGCCATCAGAAAGTACGCACAAACTGCACGCTCGGCAAACTCTTCTATTGTACATTATCCGCTTCAGTAAAACACCTGTTGTCATTGGGACTCTGGGCCTTGGATTATTCCGATTCGTGCATTTCCACCATCCGATCAACCATATGTATGTATGATATTTATGTGCGAGGTGCCGTCTATCAAACACAATCGCCATAACAACACCAACATTGACACGTACTCGGCATGCGGTCCTTGACCAAGTTCCCCGAGAGTTCTTGAGCTATTAACTTAGTATTATGTCGGGGCATTCGTCCCACATTGGCAAATTGCTGTACTGCTCATTTCTAGAGCCATAAGTGCGCTTGCCGAAAATAACTGCTCATCGATTAACCGGTTCTAATCCAACATTTTCGACACTTGTACACCCTACTGCTTGGGTCTTAGTGACAATGTCGTTTACGTCCACTGATAGTTAAACGCTATTTCGCGCTATTTGTTGTCTGCCTGAGAGCGCAAACAATTGCAGTTTGTTGCTGTATGTAATTGAACTTCAGTAAACAGCATACAAGATCTTGGATCCACTCCGTGCTTTGAACGTTTCGGGATTGGTTATTGCTCCTATCGAGGCATTAGAGCCAAAAGGAAAGACGTCAGAGAGAGCGCTGAAGGAGGAAACTACTCCGCAACCTTTACTGGAAAGCAGCAGTCAAAGAAAGACGACAGAAGAGTTTAGTGTTAGCATGCCAACAGTTATGAACATCCAAGAGCATAATCATGAGCACGTGGAGAGGTACAATATTGAAAGAGGAGATATACAGCTTAAGAGGCGGAAAAGTTCAGACGAGAAAGTATGGCCGCAAAGCATTCCAAGGAATGTTTTACAGTTATGCTGTACACTAGCTCAAACGGAGGGAACCTTTGGTTAGTGGTAAGTCAGCCAGACTACGTGTGTTCAAAAAGAAGTGTTCTGAAAACCTTCCAGTCACCTGGAGATCAAACAACTCTGCATGGATGACTACTGCCACATTTGACGAGTGGATACGTAAACTCGACCGAGAAATGACGAAGAAGAAACGATTCATTCTACTGCTAGTGGATAAGTGTCCCAGTCCTATTCAAGTCGATAAGCTCATGAACATTACACTAAAATTTCTGCCTCCAAAGATGACCACAAAATTCAACCTCTGGACAAATGAATCATCGAAATATTCAAAACGCATTACCGAGTCCAGCTCGTGCAATGGGTTATAGCAACAATGGATCCCACTGCTCTGCATGGGGCAAGAACTTCGTCTGTCGCTTCAGGTAATGCTCTGGATGCTGTGTTTTGGATAAGTTCCGCTTGGCACAAAGTTCAGTCAGAAACAAT